AACAGGAACACAGGAGAGTGCTGTAAACTACAGATCGACGACCCAAAACTGTAAAACGTGGGATCCCAGCCTGTGAACCGCTTCAGCACAAGCTGGAGGTCGCCAAGACGACAGAACCACATCGTCCACAAAAGCGAAGACGAAATCCTGAGACCACCGAGGTGGAGACCCTCCACCACCTGGCTATAGCTACATATTCTGTGCATAAATATTATGAACACGATCATGACAAAACGCAGCCTGACAGAGTCAAACACCCACCAGAAATGAAACCGTCTTACTGTCAATATGAACCAAGCCCTCGCTATGGTTGTACAACCGTAACAACAGGCCAGACCTTTCATACTCCCAATAGGACACTGCCCAAGAAATGCAGTCAAATAACTTCTCTGAGCCAAAACCCACATCCTCAAATATCCTGAGAGGATAAAGAGTTGGTCAGGTGTTCTGAGACAACAATGAAAACAACATTGTTCCTCCTGAATCTGAGGTCTGACTCATGGATAAACTTTCACTGAGTCCTGGCAGCCTGTTGCCCAGACAGACTTTTTGGTTTTTAACTGCAGGCGTTAAAAAACAGACGTTTCTACAGCAGAAAGTGAAAAACAGAAACAGTTAAAGTTCAAAATTTCTGCTCGTGCTTGTTTGTGGTGAGAAATCAAACAGGTTAAGAATTATCAAATGGCTTCAAGCACACAGGCTCATCCAGACGCCCTGTATCACTGAAATGCAGCCACATGTTTGCACGTTTTCACTCCTTCCTTCACCATTTCCCGACACGCTCGCTCTCCCATCTATCTGGCCTGTACACCTACACTTGGTGTCTTTTGGAAAGTCATACCATAAGACTGGTAATGGTATGACCCCAGTTTGTCTGTGCATCTGATTGGCCACATGGTGAGCCTATCAAAATAAAGTCCCACCCCTGCCTGCAGTGATGAAGATCAGGCTCACTGACGTGTGGATATGATTGTGTATCCTGTGTTCAGTCACACAGAAAGCTTTAGTCACAATAACTCCACCGTGTCAAAAGCAGCTTCAGTTCAGCGTACAGACGACAAGCGGTGAGAACATGAGGTTTAACGACAGCACGTCGTTCTTCTCACTGATAGATGGGTCGTGTTACTGCTGGAGCTGACAGAAAACTGGCCCGCGGGCCGTATGTTTGACACCCCTGCTACAGAGGGTTCAAGCAGTTTGACCTCAGGCTGGTTTCTTCAGTTCCAGCAGCGTCACTGTCAGGACGACTGTTTCTCTACAGTGTTTGTGTGACTGAAGTACCTGCAGGGAGTTTCGCACCGTCGCCTCCTGCTTCACTCCTCTCAACTCCTCCTGAGGAAAGTCTTTCGTCTCCGTCAGCTTATCGTTTTCCATCTCCTGCACTTCCTCCTCGAGAGCCGTCACCTCTTCCTCCGTCCTCCGCAGCTTCTCCTTTATCTGCTCCTTCTCATTTTGTTCTTTTTGCAGCTCTTTCTTAATAACCAGTAGCTCCATCTTAGTCGTCCTCAGCTCCTCCTGCGTCTCCTCTCTGAGATATTGTGCTTCTTCTCTCCATTTTAACAGCTCATCTTGTGCCTCCTCC